GTAAGTCGGTCAAAAGCTCTGTCGGTGTTTAGCTTAACCCAAAGCAACTCGGGTTTCAGCCAAACAACAGTTCTGGGTCGTGGATGCTAGACAGACGGCAGCGGAGGTGGTGTAAGACGGTGGGGTAGCGTGCAGACTTTCCAGTCTCTCTAGGTGAGTCTGCCCAAAGCAGAAAGAAGAGAGAGATGTCGGTCAACCTGCAAAATAATATGAGAAGACAAAAAAGAGTTATCCCTATGCTTCGCATTATTCCTTTCTGTCTAGGTGCACCAATTGATCAGACAAAGAATAAGGAAGCCCATGTGTCAACTGTGCAGTGTCTAAAAAACTCAGAAGCTCAAAGAAAGTATCTGTGGAGGGTAGAGGAATATGTGTATAACTGGTGTAATGCTCCCACACTCTCCTCACAGTCTCGCTCTCGAAAAATAGATGGGTGAATGTATCGGTCTGAAAGTCGCCTGTCTGAGAACAACAATAGCAACGCGAGGGGAAGGAGAATCCCCTCGCCTGCATCACAACGCCAATCGATAGGCGGCACAAAAAGAGGCGCCAAAGGAAAACAGAGATGGTAGGGGTAAGTAGGTCGGTCCAGATGGCCTCGAAGAGAAGGTTAGGCTAGTCCCCCAGCCGTATTTTCCCCCAAGCCGAGATCGTAGAGAATGCACTCGAATATGTAAGTCTCCACCTCATACCGTCCAAACTGCCCTCCGAGATGGGAATCTGCTGGATCTCATCAATCACCTGGTCACTAAAGCCCGCTCCTCTACCCAGAATCCTCTCTAACCTATTCCTATCCCAACCCCCCTCCGTCCACAGGTCCTTCACCTGCAGAAAGGGAAGGTGGGTGACCTGCCCAGTGCTCGAAAGGGGACCCTCACCGAACCACCACACATCCCAAAAGCTAACGTCCCCTTCACCAAGAGTCCAAAAAATGTGTTCCTGAGCATGTCTACCAATTATGGTGAGCCGCCTCCACTGTCTGCTATCGCGGGCGGTGGCCGTCACCCTACAGGGATGGGCAGCGCCTCCAGGACAGTACTTCCGGCGAAGATACTGAGCCCAACTTACCCTCTCTAAATCGCCACCACATCTTATAAGAAAATGCAATAACGATATCCGAGAAACGCCGAATCCCGAGACCCCCCTCAGAGAAGGGGCGGCAAACAGAGTCCCACTTCACGGGCCAGGATCTGATCTAGCTCGTGAATAGTAGACTGGTGGGGGTCAAAGACCGTAAGGAGGTGAAGCGGGAGGGTGTTGAGGGTGCTCTTGATCAGAGCAAGTCGGCCCCCAAAAGAGAGGTGTCTGTGAGACCAACCGGAGATCCGATCAATCATCCTCTGTATAACATCAGAAAAGAGCTCATGCGAGAGGTGACCCTTGTACAAGAGGGCACCAAGGTAGGTGATGGGGAGGTCTCCGCGCGCGAAGCCAGTGCGCTCGTGGACCCAATGGTCCCACTGGTCCGCAATATGATGGTCTAGGGAGAAGGTCCGCAATATGATGAAGCCAGTTTATACATGATAGTTTATGACTAATGACTGAAAAGTTAGTATATATATAAAAGTGTTTGGTAAAATTAACTCATAAGATAGTTAAAATAAATATTTCAATGGAAAAAAACTACCAAAGAAGTTAATGAAATAAATTCAAGTTTTTTTTTTTAAAAAAATTCGTCCTACCAAGTCAAACTTATAAGTTCGAGTTTTTTAAAAAAGGTAACCTACCAAACCAAACTTATTTGAATATATGAAACTTATATGTTAATCAAATAATAAGTCATGAGTTAGCTTATGTGCTTGTTTGTCTCATTTTTGTTGCGTTTTTCGTGTTTATTTTATCTTTATTTTTTCCCCATTTTAGGTCGTTTCTTTAGTTTTTAGTCCGTTTCGTGTTTTATTATGTGTTTTCCTTCATCTTGAGTCTTTAGGTGTTTTTCGTTTGTTTTTCCAGTTTTCTTTTGTGTTTTGTCGTTTTTGGTGTGTAGGTCAAGAGCTTTGGGCGAATTATAACTGGATAGATGGGTTCGTTGGTGACGCATAGCAAAAAACGGATCCGAGTTCGGACGAGCCCAAACGAGCTCAAAACGTAAAGCAGCGCGCAGCTGCCCAGTTCTCTTCACCGCGGCCGCGGAGGAGAGGTCGCTGCCGCGGAGCCCTTCTGCAGCTGAAATCTCGCGGCCTCGGAGCTTCCCGCGGCCGCGGAGGTCGCGACCAGAATTTTAAAAGCTAGATTTTGTTCATTTTTTCGAGGACTTTTGATGGGGGACTCGTTCCCAGACCAGAAAATCCCCCAAAAACCTATTTTTTCCCTTCTCTTACCCTAAGAACACCATTTTGATCTTGTTTTTCACTTGGATTTCTTCATTACTTTCGGATTAATCTTGTATTTCAGATTCAATTCTCAATTCCGTTTTAATCGTAAGTTTTCTATTCATTTAATCCATGAATATGATTGCTTTGATTGTTGTGGTTGATGGTGTTGAATTGAATATGAGTGGCTAATTCCTTCTGCTAGGGATATGGGATGATTGTTCTCGTTTAACGTGTATTTGTCGGGCTTGATTCGTTTGTTCTTGTGCGAGTAAATTTAATTAGGAATTGATGAATTCTTGATTGATGATTTGATATAACCTAAGAGTGACACTTAGGTTAACTTATTGATATAATCGAAGAGTGACACTTCGATTTTGTGCTTGAATATTGATTTGTTGAGTTAGGGTTTATTGATCCTACATGATTAGTTGATTAAACACCTTCTAATTGAATTAGCGACTTTTAGAACCGAAAGGGAAGAAGTCGTAGACCTAGGCTCACATGAGATAGATGATTTCGTAACTGAATAATCTATGGATTTTGGACTGAAATACATGCTTGTCGGTGTCTTGTCCCTTGTTACGAAAAGTTATTGGGATTGGATACTTGGCCGGTATTGTATGCTCAAACTTGCTCGTCTATGTTCAATTCCTTGTTACGAAGAGTTATTGGGAGTGAACCGCTAGACGTGTAGGCGAGAGTGTCAATTCCGAACCGAACGATCAATTGCCTGGCTTTACGTTCCGAACTTGAATAAATTATCCCCGATTCCCTAGTTTCTTTATTATTATTTAGTTGGTGTTTTAGGATTTATGCTTTTATGCTATTTCTTAGTTGATAGTTAATTCCTCCCCAATCTGATTAGAGTGTTTAGGATTTATTTTTTTTTTGTGTGTTATCAATACCAATTCTAAATTCCGAACCGCCTTCCTCGAGAGATCGACCCGGGAAACGAATCCTTCGATTCGGTGCTCGGTAATATAACAATTTGTACACAACAGTGCTTACCAAATACACATTTTGAAGTCTAAAAGTATTTCTTAGAATCAGTGTTCTAAAAGTCGCTAGACGCTCGACCAGCGCCTAGCGCCTAAAGCGCCGAGGCGGGGCCTAGGCGGCACCGAGTCGGGGCCCAAAAATTAACATTAAATACTTTATTTTTTATTTATTTTAACTACCTACAAAATAAAACTATCTCAACTTATAATGAATTCACACTCCAAAGTCCAAAAAATAATATTAATATATATTAAAGAAAACATAAAAATAAAATAATGTAATTAGTATTTAAAAAAAAAAAACTGAAAAATTACTGCCGAGTCCGCCTAGGAGCGCCTAGGTCCGTCTATGCCCACCTAGACGCCGCCTAACTGCCTGGCCGCCGAGTCCGCCAAGCCCGTCTAGGAGCGCCTAGGACTGCATAGGCGTCGCCTAGCTGTCTGGCTGATTTTTTTTGCCGATCTGTGCAAATCAGAGGCGCCCAAACACCGCATAGGCCGAATTTTAGAACAGTGCTTGGAATAAGAAAAAATATATTTACAAGCTTCAATTTGTGGAAGAATAACTTTATTTAGATATTATTATGCGTAGTTAAAAAAATTGTACATGGACAGTCATGTGATAATAAGTTCACGCTCATCATACATTTATAGGCCTCAGTTTATGATATATAGAAATCTTACAGATTTGGTGCATTTTTGTTTTTGATTATTTTATTAGTCCATTTTAGATGTAAAGGCTTCGCCCATCGTGTTTGCTAAGAACATAAACTAACTTATTTAGTTGATTTATAAGTTTTATATATTCAAGTAAGTTTAGATTGATAGAACAATTTTTTTTAAAGACCGTTGATTTATTTATAAATTGATTTTACCAAATACTTTTGTTGTATCAACTAAATTTTTAGCTACCCTTAAATATAATCTCGAAATTCAAGCGAATGTATCATTTGCTAGTTAGTATTTTTTAGCTAATATTACTAAAAATAACCTTATAATAACCATTTACTAATAACCAAATCAAACTAAAAATAGCGTGAAACAAACTTTATAATAAACATTATTGCAATTTTATGATTCTTGCATTGATGGCTACGAACCACATCCTAGTGGATAATACTCGAACGTACTAATCATTTATTCACATTGTTTGCCAAAGGTTAGTAATCACTCAAATTTATGATAGGTAAAATATTGAGAAATATAATATGTTCGATAAATCTAGCTAAATCATAGCTTATAAATGATATATTAATTTGTATGTCATGGTAAGGGAGATGTGATTCGTTAATCGTACCTGTTAGAAAAGTAAAATATTTTCAGTAAATAATCATATTTTATACAATTTATATATTAAAATTAATATAAATAAAAATATAATATTTTATATAATATGTATGTTTATTAATTACGTCTAAAGCAAAAATCAATTGAAAGGGGCAATTCCGTCAAGAGCTAGTTTCTGAAGGTTGCAGAGGGACAATGCGGCAACTCTTTCAGAGCACATTAAACATTCCTTGAGATACAAAATTGCTATCAAGTCCCTCTCCGCAGATCCAACGGACAAAACAAATTCCTCTCTGCACAATCGGACGTCTGATATTCATCCCCATCAATGTCAATATACGTACAACTACAACAAGCACTGCACAAAAATACAAATAATCAAAACACACACGCACACACACATATATATGGCAAAAATGACGTAGACACACTCTCTCTCATATATGATCTCTATTTACATTCTCTCGCAATTCCATTTTTCATCAATCCTTTATTTCTGTCTCAGATTTGCAGATAGAATCAAAAGCTTTTTTTTTTCAAAAAAATAAAAATAAATAAATATTGTGTGTCTATTAAGTTAGAAGAGATCCGGATCGAGTATAGAACTCAATCCCTGGGCCTCACTCTCTCCGATGAACATAAGGTCCATTTTTTTATTTTATTTTTTTGTCTTTTTTAATTTATGATTTCCTCGGCGTTTGTTTTGGTACTTTTGATTAGTAATTGTTTGTTTGTGATTTTAATCTCGTATGGTGTTTTTTTTGTCTTCTCAGATGTTGTTGAGTGAGACTGAAAGAGCCATCTCATAAGGAGAGGAATTTTTGGGTGAAATCTCGTGTAGTTTATTTTTTTCGTATTTTTTTCTGCGCTCTCTCTCTCCCTCTCTTTAATTTTTCTTCAATATTTCTATTGATGTGAAATGAATTCGGTTGAAGACAAGGACGTTCGTTTTGATTCACCGTAAAGAAAAAGATTATATCATATTTACTTTTCAATTCCTCACTTTTTCTCTGCATTTCCCCCTTGTCGGATCTGGAATATTCTTCACTACCACACAAAAAAGTTTGTATTGCAATCCAAGTTGATGGGATTTGGATAGATACATAATCTTCTCCTAGGCGAGACGACGGAATTCAATTCGTATACTCCGGCAGAAAAATATAATTCTGAGAGTTTTACAGAAAATAACATACATATCTGTGTTTCCCAAACAAAATATTATAATGATTTTATTATTTCTCTAAGATGGAGTTGATTTTAAGAATTTACCCCATTGACTTTTCATGTTATCTAACTTCCTCTTCGTTATTCTCAGTCCCATTTAATTGCAATCGCTTTTAATTTCTCTCTTTTGGCGGAAACTTCCCTGAATCCCATAAACCAATCTACTCATATACTACTATTTTTTACTACATATTATCTCTTAAATCCTAAATCACTCTTCATTCATTTCATCAGGAACATAAAAAAAAAAAGATGTCCTCGTTTTCCTCATCATCATCATCTTCAAGCTCCCCTTGTGCGGCCTGCAAGTGCCTCCGGCGCAAATGCACACAGGAATGCGTGTTCGCCCCTTACTTCCCTCCCGACAACCCCCAGAAATTCGCCAACGTCCACAAAGTATTCGGCGCCAGCAACGTGGCTAAAATCCTCAACGACCTCACCCCGGCCCACCGTGAAGACGCCGTCAATTCACTCGCTTACGAGGCCGAGTACCGCCTTCGAGACCCAGTCTACGGCTGTGTCGGCCTAATCTCCCTTCTCCAGCACAAGCTCAAGCAAGTCCAGCACGACCTTCATGCCGCACGAAATGAACTCGCCAGATACACCACTGCCCTCTCCCCACAGATAATGATGCCCACAGCTCAGCAGCAGCAGCAGTTTTTCGAAGCGCAACAGCTGGCAATGATCAGGAGTTACGAGCAGCAGCAGCAACAGAATAATAATTTGGGTAAGTTTGAGAGCGGTGGTGGGACGAGTTATGAGGCTGCGATACCCTACATTGCGGAGCACGCGCACCAGCATCAGAATCAGCTGCAGCTTCAGGCGCAGGCACAGGCTACGGAGTTTCTTCTTCTCCAGCAGCAGCAAAGCCAGCTGGCGGCGGCTGTGGTGGCTCGGGAGCAGCCGGAAATGGTTCAGGCGGTGCCGGTGAGGGATAAAAGCGAGGAGGATCGGAGTTGATTGGTTATTTAGATTCTGTTGTGGGGATAAGGAGAGATTTCGAAATTTCGATTCCACCAGGTATAATTTTTTTTTTGGATTAAGTTGGGGTTTGTTTTTTCGTGCAAGTATAGTCAATCAATCTGTGCCTGTGCGTGCTTTAATTTTAAATTTTTTGTTATTAAATTCTCTTTGTGTTGTGTCTGGTCTGAGTAAGTGATGGATGATCACTCATGGGCATTGAATGCTGAAGATCAGATTTGTCCTTTGTTTTTATTCGTTTTTAACATGAATGGGGTGGTGTTGTTGGTGAAAGGCAGAAAGAAAGGGCAAAAATTAGTGGGTGTTGGGATATGGTGGTTGGTTTTATGGGAATTATTGTCTTGTCACTGCCAGGGACATGTCACTGTTCAGTAATCATAACTCCTCACCCCCTATCAAAAAACCCTNTTAAGTGTAGTGCAAAAATCACACGTAAACTTGGCTCCGCTCAGCTCAGCTTAGCTCAGTTCGTTAAGTCTCAAGTCGTTTGAGAAACAAATCGAGTTCTTGATTATTTAGTTAATACGTCTAGCTAGATTCGATTAGGTTTGAGGATAGGGGTTTTGCATAATTAATTTTTTAAATTCATACCTTAGATGAGTCTGTTAAGACTCGACTTCTACTCATTAATTTATGAAATAGCTTCAGCCTAAATTTGAGTATTAAAAGCTCGAGTTCAGCTTAACTCGGTTGGACTTTTGCATATCATGTGGGAATGTAGAGTGTGATTTTCAGTCATATTTAGGTAGCTTCTCTCATTTGCGGATGTAGCGCACTAATGGAGACGAGCGAATGTATCATAAATGCGGCCAAACTATTTATAGCTCTAAGAAATATATAAATTAATTAGCTTAGGTAGAGACTATGTTGTGATTGTAGATATCCCCTAAACTCTGTTTGGTCCTCCCATGAAGTCTCTTCAATAAAGTGAGAATTTCATGAATATATATATATATTTTTTTTCTAGAAAGAACTGACAATTAACAAAACACTATAACTTAAGATCAAAATAGATGATAATGAAGAACATAAATTATTGTTTGAATTAATCTAAAAGTTATGCATATTGAGCCGTCATACTATTTAATAAAAATTTACATATACTATCAAATATCATATTTTGCTTATGTTGTTTTTCGCAGTGTGGCATTTTTAATGAAAATATAATATCTGTGAAAATAATATATCTAACCTAATTATGTTGTGAATATAACAGAATACATATGGGGTGAAGATAAATAAGTAGGAGAACTTATGCCGGTAGTTGAAAGTGTTAGAATTATATTTTCCCATGAATTAAACGCGTAAAACAAAGGAATATCACCATTTTTTTTTTCAGTATTTAATTGAATTGATACAATGTTTCGAAGGTAGTCTGGGGGCAACATTATTTGACAAAGATTGAACTCGATTGGCCCTATCATTACACGAATCTTAGGTCTAATTTCATAGCACTCATTTGGTTCTTTAATAATATAAGTGCTCGTTTTGAATTTTTCTGGCTAAAAGTTTTGTCCTTTCTTACTTGGCATTCCTAACTAGATCTCCACCTTATCTTACTTTTAACTTTAGCAGATTATTTTAAAATTAATATAACTTGTGCAACAATGCACAAGAAAACAGCCGTTTTTTATAATCAATTAATGTACTCTTTGATTGTGATGTTTAAACCAAGATTGCGACTATTTATTCATTCATTTATTTTTTTTACCTCATTGTATTTTACGATGGCTACAATGATATATCAATGAAAAATGATATATAGCCAATCTAGTGTACAACTAGGTTGACAACACAAGTGAAAAATATAATAATCTAATTGTACATTAAGTTGGCAATGTACACTAAGTTGTACACTAGGTTGGCAATGTAGCATTTCTCTATATCAATAGATCACAAATTTTCATATCAAGCAGCATAACCATTAGGCAGGTCGATACATCATATATCTATAATAATAATGCATACTTATGTTGTGAAATATCACACTTTTATTTATGTATTTTTCAAAGATGAAAATTTAGTTAAAAAGTATTCATATGTTTTGAAAAAACATGATTGTCTAATGATTGAGTATGTATATTGTATATCGATTTGTAGTCAAGGTTATATGTAGGCATGTTAGGTGTGGCATTTTGTTCTCATTTTTCGTAATTTTGGATGCCCTACTTTAATGCTGTTCTAGAGACGAATTATTATTGTTTGAGGATCCTCTTACTATTTTAAATTAAATATTGAACTGATTATAACATAATAGAGTTAATTGCAAATTTGGTCCCGTTAGATTGGGACGTTCACAATTTTAGTCCCAAGAGGCGCAATTTCAGTCCTTACCTAATTTTTGTTGCGCAATTGGTCCCAAATCTAACTGACCGTTAAGTCACCGTTAACTCTAAGGACTAAAATTGCAATTGTGGGACTAAATTTGCAATTTTCTCATATTTGATATATATAAAATAACTTTTCGTTTTTATTTTTATTTTTTATAATTTTATTCACCTCTAGAGTTATATTTTTATTTTTTATCAACCACTATAATCATAATAAAATTAAATGATGATTTTTTAAATATATTTATTATTTAATTAAAAATATTTGAAATATAGAAAACATTGTATTGCAATTAAAATTTTTAATATATTAATAATGATATAAATTTAATTTTATTTGAATTTATATATATAAAATATATTTAAATTTATATTTTTTATATTAAAACATATATAAATATTTTTGTTATATATCAAATATGAATTTAAAAAATATGATTTAATAAAAAATATTTTTGGCATATATCAACTATGAATTTAAGTTTATATTTGTGTTATATTAAAAATATATATAAATATGAATTTAAAAAATATATCAAATAATAAAATTGACCAGTCCGATCAACCAATTTAAAATTATATATCAAATATATCAAAAATAAAAATATATAAATATGAATTTAAAATTATATATCAAATATATATACACACACACACACACACACACACACACACATATATATATACAATTGACCAATCTGATCAACCAATTCTGTCTGGTTCATTGAAAACCAGTTCTTTCAAATGAATCCAATCATTTGACCGATTCTAAAAATTAAAAATAAAAGTAGTTGATTTTATTTTTATTTTTATTTTACGTTTTAAATTTTTATTAACCTCTAAAATTATATTTTTATTTTTTATCATCCAATATAATTATAATAATATTAAATAATTATTTTGTAAAAATATTTATTATTTAATTAAAAATATTTTGAATACATAAAACATAATAATATAAATTCAAATATATTTGAATTTATATATATCAAATATATTTAAACTTATATTTTTGTTATATTAAAAAATATAAAATTTATTAACTTATTTAAATATATATATTATTGACCAGTCCATTCAACTAATTCTAATCGGTTCATTGGAATCAATCCGTTTAAAGGAATCAAACCGTTTAGTTGACCAATTATCGATTCAACAACAAGTTTGGCCGAGCTTTCAACCAATAGTAGTTGGTATTACTTCTATTTTTATTTTTATTTTTATTTATAAATTTTATTAACCTCTAGAATTCTATATTTCTAATAAAATTAAATAATTACTATTTTTTAAATATATTTATTATTTAATAAAAATTAATTTTAAATATAAGAAACATTGTATAGCAATTATTATTTTTTATTTCAAAACTAAATTTTTACTATCAAATATTGTTATATACTCACGGAATAAAAATTGCAACAAAAATTAGTAATAAAACTATTTTTTTTAATATTTGGGACTAAATTTCCAACTAAACCAATCTTATGGGACTATATTTGCAATTTTTTCAATATTTATGACTAATGACAAACGGTGACTTAACGTTCAGTTAGATTTGGGACCAATTGCGCAACAAAAATTAGTTAAGGACTGAAATTGCGCCTCTTGGGACTAAAATTGCGAACGTCCCAATCTAACGGGACCAAATTTGCAATTAACTCTAACATAATAACTCATTTTTTTTGTTTTCTTTCATCTCCTTGCTGATTGAATATTTTAATGTGTTTCTTGCAGCAAATTAAGGGCAGGGATAATTAGCGTACAAAGGAGAAAATGAGAGCGTGAGAGAGGAGACCTATGAGAGAGGGTAAAAAGAAATGTTTTAGCAGTTGTGAAATGTACGTAAGTTATGAGTAATTTATTTTCTTTATTGTATGGAACTCTATCAAAGGAGACAAGGTTGTGGATGAATACATTTCATCTTGGATCGGTAAACGTTTTCGTAATTTAGACTACTGCGTTCATTTAAGATAAGAGGGACACATAATATAAAATAAAATTGATACAAATTAAATGATTCTCTCAACACGATCTAAGAAGCAAAAATTCCATGAAATATAAAATAAAATGAAATTTATATTTAGTTATACTTATTATAAAATAAACTAGATAACTCGAAAACAAGTGAAATTTACACGACACGATATTGCACCTATTTGAAGATATACATGCTAGTGTTACTATGGTATTATTGTTGATTCATGTACGTATCAAATTTACGCCCATTATTATTATTATTATTATTATTATTATTATTATTATTATTATTATTATTATTATTATTATTATTATTATATTTTGATGTATCTCTAAAGTTGAAGTTGCCAATTACTCCTTGGAATTATTAAAAAGTAGGCTCATTCTCCATTTTAATTTCATCCGACACTTTGAAACCTTATTGTCATGTTCAATGCACCAAATGTTATTACTATTATTATTTTATGAAATTTGTAGCTCACTCTTCTTCTTATTTATCTCTTTTATTTGTCTAACATGCTAAATAAATCTAGGTAATTTTTTTTGTCCACCTTCAATGTACCTATACCAATTATATTCACAACCTCAATCATATAAATTAAGTACATAATTTTTTCTACTTCCATATATGTCACGTATTTTGTCTATTAATTATTTTTTCTATTGTCATAGGTTTTAAGTATTTTGTCTATTAAAATTTCAGTAAAAATGTGACGGCAAGAACAAGAGATTTTGTCAAACTTCTAATAATGGTAGAACATATTATTCCAATGTGATTTATTTTTCATAGTTGTATTCCAACAAATGAGATTGACTTCGTGAATTGTGCTCTTGGAATTTCGCCTCAATGCTAATAATTATTGCCCTCTTTTTCCTTCACTTTAATTTTCAACAATTCATTGAAAATATAAAAGAATGGAACCGCCATATACCTTGTGTAAGATTTGGAGAGTTGCAATTGGCTGAGGGAATGCGTGTTGACACTCGATAAAATAATTAAGATAAGCACTCACTAATCGATGTGTTAGTTTCACCACTATAAAATTGTACGGTTCCCAGCACAATAAACTAAAATACACTAACGTTTGATAACAAGACTGATTAGACTTGTAAGATCCATGTAGAAAATTTTATTTTCCCTTTCTCTCTCGCCTTTCTTGGTGATAATTAATATCAGTTGACCCTCATTTTTTAATATATATATATATATATATATATATTTATTTATATATTGATTGGTTAAAAAAATATGTATTTTATATATTTATTAGCGTATTTTTATATTTTTAATTTTATCTCATTTATAATTTTATACTTGTATATTTCTTTGGATGCATTCTTGTACTTTGATATTTTTATATCTTAATTTTAGGATATTAGAGTATTTTCAATAACAATGTGGCACTAAACCAAAAATTTAGTTTTGGCTAAATAATATACTGATTGATTAATGTAAATAGGTTTTTGTATGAGATAAGGATGTCATTAATCCGGTACTTCATACTAGCCCAGTGTTTAGCCCATTCGTACCGTGTACGAAAAAATTAAGCCTAAATCACCAATTTGTGGGCCTAAAAAAAGACTTGGCTGATTGGGTTCTCTAAAATCTAGCCTAAGTGTCTTATTGGAAGAATAAAAAGTCTTATACAACAAACACCGGTTTTGCTATGGAGCCATCGGATGACACGTAGGCCTGGGGGAATTAATTGCATAACAACACGAGAGGATTTATTTGAAGGGCATAAGTGGCAGCACCCATAGGATTTATTTGCGAGAGCCGCCATACACAAAGACACAGAAAAAGAAACAGAGCAAAGGAGACCGAAGAACCCAATCCATAGTAGTTTCAAGGATGTCGAACTCTACGTACTTGGATGTATTTAATTAATTATAGTGATTTATAATTTTGTTATTTCTATGAAATTGTTTGTGTTATTTTATTTGATCATGATGTGTTTTATTTTATTTAGATATATCACCTAGATAGATTTTTTCATGTCTAATGCTAGAATTAGATTTGCAATCCGTAATTATTGTTAGTTTAATTCATAAGTAGCAACCGAAAGCTGGTAGTTGTCGAGGATAACACGGCCTAATTAAGTAAACCGTGCAGTTGTGTTTACTACTTAGATTAGCCTATTTTTTTAGAGCCTAAAACGGCTATTGCATTAAATCTAGAGAGCGTGTTCTAGACTGTCCAATAAATCAAGTTTAATCGAAGAGTGTCTCTCGGTTAAATAAACATTAAAAAAAATCACATAGCAGAGCGTGTTGCTATCTAGGACTAGTAATTCCATAAGACAGCGAAATTTGATACTAGAATTAAGTAGATGAGTCGGTCGAAGGTGTAGATGGAATCATGAACTAGAAAATTCTCTTAATTTATTCTATTTTATTATTTTAGATTTTATTTATTTGGTTACGATCTTAGTTATTAAATCAATACCCCTATTTCTTATTGCTTTTATAATTTCAATTAATATACGAGAAAATTCACAATTTGATTCACTCTAGTGGGATCTACCCTTACTCGCCACTACTAATAGTTAGTAGAGGTTAGTTGAAAAAAATATAAATTTTAATTTATCGGGTCGCAACGCACGGTTAATTTTATTCCCACCGGACATAAATACTTGTTGACCCCAAGCCAACCATGGGCCTCATTAAAACCTTTCAAAGTAAAACCCCATCCTTGTAGGTAAAACCTTGGAAAGGGAAAAGAGTAGCCAACACTTCAAAATCACACAAAATGACACAGACATTCCAAGAAACGGATGACGAACTTGGCGTACAATGCAGGCACCATAGACTCCACAAATATAAGGTTCGACACCTTATATAGACTCTAAAACCGCAAAAACTCTAATCTTAAACCCTCCGCGGGTTTAAGATCATGGGGTAAAAATAAAGAAAATACGAATAATGCTCCTTTGTGTTTTTTCGGAGAAGTTGAGATTCGCGATTTTCTAGTAATCACGATCGACTTGCATTCCTTTGAAGGTCTCGCCTTCGGAGCTAATTTTCTTGCATGACATCATCATAATCGACACTGTGATTGGCTAAGTTGAGATCTTGAGAGGAGCCATCAATTGTCCCCATTTGAGAGTCACTGAGGCATTGCAAACCGGACGAGGTTCCAGCCGATAAATTCTTCTCCTGCTCCCGTCTTAAGTGAATCCTGTATTTCTGAAAATTCAATACAAAACTAGTTTTTTGCTTAATTATTATTTAAGATTTTACTAAATGAAAAGAACATGATATGTTTAGAGTACATGAACGGGGTTATTTTTGTAATTGTATTGAGTACCTGCAAATGGCTTTTTATTTGGTCGTTGGTTAAGCCTTTCACTTGCATCACCGCACGAATTCGCTTTGGGGTTGCAACTGAAAAAAAGATCAACACGTTGAAGATTATTTGAGATGAAATTCGATAGATACTTTCATATATGAATTTTTTTTGGATGTATTTTTATTTTCATTATAATTGACACACTTATTTGAAGAAATTAACTAATGGAAAGAAGAAAGGTGTGTTTTTTAGAGTAACTGGATGTGTGATGAACTTTAATAACCTCAATGTGAAAATGATAAAATTATTAAATATAATTGATCTCTCTCTTTCTCTCTCTCTATATATATATATGTAATTCACAAATTATGTAACTCATAGTATGCCATAGTGTACAACAATATCCATGCAAAAATATAAGAATGCATACTTATACTATTAAATGTGATATTCTCATATATATAACAAGTTCGATAGTTTTATATGTTATGTTACATTAACGATGCGCAACTCATTAGGCGGATCCACACACCAGATTGTCGAGATATACCATCCACCAATAATCTCGATACCCAAAACGCGTTCACAACACACAATTACGCAATCACAAAACGTCGATTGCGATTTCTCTAACTTTCTTTCCCAAATCGTAATATAATAGTGATTCTCTGAGTTAATTTACAAAAACAAAAATGGCAAAATTGTGGTCGATAATTTAACGATACGTACCATAAGCTCCACCCAGAGTTTTGAGTGCATCGACAAACTTGAGGTGCATCTCCATCCCCCAGCACAGCCTCGACTTGTTCTGTAGTTTCCCTTCCTCTTGTTTGGGCAATTGAGACGGCTTCTTATATGGCGCAAATGCCACTCTGCCGCTTGCGTGTACCCTCTTCTGACGAGATTCAACGACAACATTTTATTGGGAAAATAAATATTCAGAAAAAGAAAGAGATGGTAATTTTTTTAAAAAATTAATTATATAAAAAATCGTACCGATTTTGAAATCGGAATGTTATCGATGCCGGTTTCGTACTCGACCGGCGCAGTCCAGAGCTGCGCCGAACGCATCCAAGAGCTCTTATCGTCCATTGACATTTTTGCCCCTGGATCGTCACCTTTGGGATCACTCTTGTTCACCTTACACTGCATCTTCTCCTCCTCCAATCTCACTATCCCTTTCGAAAAAACATTAAACAATAAACTATAGAGAAGGAAAATTTTCATTTATGAAAGGATCTCATACAAAATTAAGAGTGTATAGGTGTGTGTGCGTGCGCTTATGATACCCTCTTGCAAAAGCTCCATGCTCAAAGGAAGCTCGCGCTGCAAATGTTCGACCTTTTTCAATTCGTCTCCGTACTTGCGGATGTGAAGAGCCAATTCGGACGATTTCTCATAAGAATTGGAAATGTGTGAAACTTTTCTCAGAATATCATTAATGGTAATGGGAAAAGAATTCTGAGAGCTCTCATCAAGATTCACTTCCTTTGAGTTATTAACCATATTATTATCAAAATCCATTATAATAATGTTTGTGGTGAGATTTTTATCTTGTTCTTAATTTTTTTCTGAACTCTTGGAGGTTTAATTCTGGTGTTGTTTAGAAATGTTGCATGAAAGAATGTGGAGATTGGCCTGGTTATATAGGTTCTGTGAAGTAACTTATGAGCATTATGCTGTGAATAGGACATTCGATTCTACGCACAACATGGTCTAAAGTCTTGTTATGTGGTAAATGAATTTTGCGGGGTCAAATTGTAAGGTAAGTAGTTTGAGGGATCTGTTGGAGATATTCTTGGGGGTGCCTTTTCGTAATAACAATTTTTATTAGGTGCAATTTCAAATCTTTTNAAATCAGAACTTGGATATAGAGATTAATGAAACCTTATTTGACATTACAATCGGATTATTTGTATTTTGGGAATTTTGTACTTTTTTTATTTACATGATTTAGGAAAATTTTATTCTGGATTACATATTCAGTCAAGCTACTTTGTCAAAAGGCATTATTGCATTTTTGCTTCAAAGATTGCGCATCCCAGGGTAATTGATGCAGGGATGTGGTATTCTACTGCTAATATATGTGTGTCTGTAATATTTCTTTATTTTTTTTTCGGTTTTTTAATTTTCAGTCTAGCTCTATTTGGTTTGTTAATCTCTTTTTTGAAGTTTGTTTAGTCTCGTTTATAGAGTTTTTTTATTTTTTGGGTGTTTGTATTCTCTTGGTTGATTGTGTAATTTTAATGATTGTGTAATTTTAATGAGGGATTGATCAAGACTTTGTTCTAGATGTCATTTGAAAATTTCGGATGTACTATTTTTGAGTTTTTAATATAATTATCATTTAAAAAAAGGCTCATTGATGATTTTTTATGCATTAGATTTTCAATAAAGTTTGGTTATAGAATTAGATTTTATTAATTTTGAAGTGACACCTTTGAAATAAAGTGGTTAGACACATATTAGAAAATGAAGAAAATTGGATAGTTCAATATATTTTTACTCCACTTTACAATTTGGCAAAGACAATAATGTTATTTTATTACATTTTATGTATTAAGATAGGATGAAGTAAATAATGCTTTCATACTACTTTGTATACAAGATGAGAAAGTTCTATTTTTTTTTTCTACTCAATTCAAATAATCAATATCATTTAAGTCATCTTGTAAAAAAAATTCTGACATGAAAAAAACATGGAAAATAACTATGTACCATTTTTATCCAATTTAGTTTATCAATATAACTTTTAGAATTTACCACACATTTCTTCATGAATTCACTATCCCAATGACATATTCATTTTGTATACGGCGGACAAAGAAAAATTCTATTAGGAAAATGAAAAAGATAACATGGCTCTCTTCACACTGCAAATGGCCATGACAGAGTCCCTGTTCCCAAAAATCAGCAGAGCACAAATAGCAAAGGAGGCTTGGAACAATGTAAAAGACAAATATCCGGCAGTGACAAGGTACGTCATAAAACTACAAACTCTTATGAGACATTTAGAAAATATGAAGATGAAAGAATCTGAAGCTGTAAAAAATTACTACACTCGATTAAGAGAGGTAGTAAACTAACTAAAAGCATATGGAGAAAATGTGACTGACAAAAGGGTGGTAGAAAAAATTCTAATTACTCTACCAACAAATACAATCTTATTGTCATGACAACTGAAGAAACTAAAAATTTGGAGATTTTGTCAGTGACATACTTAATAGGTTTATTTGAAGTCTGTTGTTGTATGTAATTAACAACTTAAAATTATAAACAGCTGGGTGTATTTAAATAGAAATAAGAAGATAATTGTACTTTATTTATGATATCACAAGAGTACAGGAAGTCGGTTTTGTTATTGACCGAGATCATTTCAAGTCCATGTACAATGTGTGAAAGAAAAGATAAAAAAGGCCCCTTATAACTACAAATTCTGCTACTTATAGTACGGTTGCTTTTGTCTTTTTGTCCGAGGTAGATAAGATCGCATTTAATGTTGAGCAGCTTCAATTAAACAGTGTGTAGTGGAATGAGGAAACATCAATGATTGCTTTTTGTTTTGATGGTCCAATCGAATGTGTACAGCTCCTCTTGCTTGAAAATTCGATCTCCTCGGATGTCAGATGAATCGATAATTTTTAAAGAGCATAACCTCAACGTCGGTGAAGTTGGTTGTCGGTTTTTGATAAGTTGTCGGCTCTTGTTTTCAGTCAACTGGAAGTCGGTAGTCAACACATTTAACTGGTACCGACTTGAGCTAAGTTCAGCTATTTCTGAAGAGCTATTAGTTAAATGAAGCGATTAGTCTTTTAGCTCTAACCTCATGAAGCTAAGTCGGTCATCAACAGAGAGACCCCCGACATTATTGGGTATTTGAGCTTTTCGTGAAAATGGTTGCTGATGTCGTTATTGTCTTTTAATTCCGACTTGGTTGTTCTCCGACTTCTCTTTTACTTTATAACCGACATGAGAACACTTGGTTTTGTCACCAATTTTGTCTCTGACGGTTGTGTAACGTTTGGACTGACGTAGCAGTTCTCAAAAGACGCGTCCGCATTTAATGGGTCCAACAGATAGAATTGTTAAGCGACATGGCGTTTCAAGATTTGCCCACGTCTGTTAATCATTACTGTAACGTTGCACCATTTAGTGACACGTTCGTCACACGCGCCGATCCCGGGCTTGGCTAACGGTTATAAATCAAAACCTATAAATTGCTATCGGTTTTGACTGTGAAGGGTTTTTTTACCTTAGATCTCTGAACTTTTTGCTTTTATCCTTGTGCTCAATCCCTCTCAAATTTCTCTTTCTGTTTCCATCTTTTGCAATTTGTGCGATCTCTCTGTATCTTCTTCAATTCAAGGCTTTGAGAGTTTCGGTAAGATTTTGCCCTAATTTTTTATATTTTTGTGCTCACAGGCCTAAGTCTATCTACTCAACAGGTGCCCTACTAAAGCAGTTCAAAATAAAACTCCCGTAGAATCTTGGAGTAGATGAAAACCATCAGCTCAACATCTACGAGTCTTTGAGAGTATCTGCTACATGCATATCCCAAAAGAGGCACAAACTGGAAGAAATCTGAGAAATGCATATTCCTCGGCTATGTCTCTCAATCTAAAGGATACAGAATTTACATCCTCAACACTGGTACACAATTTATCGGTCGAGATGTCTATTTCAATGAAAATGCTGCCTAGAACTGTGAGGAAGAAAAAGTCGAATACCAAAATATCATGGTAACTGCACAACGCTGGTAAATATAATACCAGAAGAACATGAAGATGAACCAAAAGGTACACAAACACCTCCAGCTCCACAACCTTCGAGTTCGAGGATATCATCACCATCTAGCGACGAAAAGTCATCCCCAGAATCACCACCGAGAAAAGTACGAACACTCAAGGAAATCTACGAGACATGCAATTTTGCCACGGTGAAACTTGAAAGCTTTGAAGCAGCAGTGAAGAAAAAAGAATGGGTAAAAGACATAGAGGAAGAAATCCGGATGATCGAGAAGAATAAAACTTGGAGTTGGTTGATCTAACAAACAACAAGAAGGAAGTTATTTGAGTTATGCGGGTCTACAAGAGGAATCTTAACCCAAATGGTTCAATCCAAAAACATAAAGCACAGCTGGTTGCTACAGGGTACTCACAACTGCCCAGGATCGACTACAACGAGACCTTTGCTCCAGTTGTCAGGCTAGATACTATAAGGGCTCTAATCGCACTTGCAGCCCAAAAGAACTAGAAAATCTACCAACTCGATGTCAAGTCAATATTCCTAAATGGCTATCTTGAAGATTAGATCTATGTTGAACAACTTCAAGCGTTCATGGCAGAAGGACAAGAAATAAAGTTCTAAAACTAAAAAAGGCCCTTTACAGATTTAAACAAGCCCCACGAGCCTTGTACAGCCGAATTGATGACTACTTCATCAATCATGAATTTAAAAAAAGTGAAATTAAGCCAACACTCTACATCAAGACCCAAGGTAATGAGAAAAAACTCATTGTTTCGCTTTACGTCGATTATGTTATCCATACGAGGAACAATGAGGAGATGATTAAAGAGTTCAAGAAAGCTATGATGAAGACCTTAGAGATAACTGACCTTAGAAAAATGAGCTATTTTTTGGGCATTTTTCTTTTTTTTTTGGTCGAAGCAGCAGAATACTCAAATAAAAATAAACGTTTTACAACACCGTTAGGCCAACTAGCCACTAAGAACACCAATAGCATAAAGACAAGGACGAACACACCAATGGTGCTCTAGATAAACTCCATAACACATGAAGAAAAAGGGATATTTATCTCACAAAAGAAATATAAAGAACCCAAAAAGAAAACGGGATATTTATCTCACAAAGAAGATAATCTACTAAAGAAGTTCAAGATGGACGGCTGTAAACCCGTAGCTACTCCTATGGTCGTGAACGATAAATTCACCAAAGAAGACAATACGCCGAATGCAGACATATCTGCTACAGAAGCTTCACAGGAAATCTACTATATCTAACGGCCACAAGATCGGATATCATGTACGCAACAAGTTTATTGTCGAGGTTCATGCAAAATCCGGAGCCAAGTTCACTATGGAGCCACGAAAAGAATATTACAATATTTGTGTGGTACTAAGGACGAAATCAATATGACTATAACGAAGAATGAAGATTGGTAGGCTACGCTAACAGTGACTAGACTAGATCAGCTGACGATATAACAATCACCTTAGGCTATACAATTTCACTTGGCTCAGACATATTCTCATGATCATCCAAAAAGCAAGATTGTGTGGCACTATCTTCAGCTAAGGCGTATTCTTAGATAAATGGGAAAACACCAAGAAAATTCGACAGAGATATACTGCGACATCAAATCAGCAATAGCACAGTGGCTTAAAATCTCGTAAATCACAGCAAGACCAAACACATTGCTATCAAATACCATTTTCTACGAGAGACGAATAATGACAAGCAAATAGAGTTCAAGTATGTCACCACAGAGGACCAACTAGAGGATA